GCCACAGGCACCGAGCCGCCTCTTTTTTAGAGATGGGGTCTTGCTGTGTTGCCCAGACTGGACTCAACTCCTAGGTTCAAGAGACTGCCTTGGCCTCCCAAGTAGCTACCAGCCAGGCCATCTTACATCTACACCTTCTTAAGTGAATATATACAGTTTCAGGGGTGTTAAATACGTAGTGTATTTATATCGTCATGAAACAAGGACTTGACTTTATTGTACAGGCAACTGAAATTTAGAGAATTATTGAAAAGTCTCAGGAGGAGAGGGTAGGGGTGGTAGGAGATGGAGGCTAGGAGGACTGGGAGGGATTTTAAGATTTAAAAGCTTGTTTAGAGTTGGTTTCTGGGTTGGTCACAGGGTTTTTTGCTGGAGGGGAAGTTAGAGCAGGGAAGTCAACACACCTCTGGCTGAGTACCAAGCCCTCTAAGGGTCAGGTGCTTTCCATCTGCACACTTAACAGGCCACATCTCGCCAGGATGTGCTCTGTTATACCCTCACAGTTAAAAGAAATATTTTGAGTGGCTTGGGTACAAAAACTAAAAACTTTTACAGAGATTGCACTCCACTTTCTAAAAAGATCTTTTTATCCATGTGTAACAGGCATACGGGAAAGTACACAAATACACATACAGCTTGATGAGTATTCACACACAAAAAGCTTTTACTATTATACAAAACGCTACCTGAGATTAATAACCAGCACCCACATCTACAAGGAGAATACTACTAGCGTCCCTGTTGTTACGCTTACTTAATCCTACTAACAGTCGTATCACTAAGCCCACTGTACATATTAAGAAACTTAAGGGCAGAGAGGTCACAGGCAAAGTATTGCTGAAACAAGCATTTGAACCCGGCTCCTATGACTGCAAAGCTCATGCTCTCGAGAATAAACAAGTTTGAGGGTTAGACAAAGAGTTCAACTTTGAACGACGTGAGCGGGCGTGTGCTCCTAATAGACACTTACTTACGTCAGAGCCACCGAAGTCGCACGTAACCAGACGCCGGCCCCTCGGGCCACTTACGCACTCTATTCAGAGCTCAGCCTCCCGGGGAGCCCGCGACGTGCTACGCGGCCTCCCCACACACGAGGGCGCTGTGTCATGTACAGTACGAGGAGTGTCGCTCTCTGTTGTCGCGATATTCTTGCGGCCGGAATGGCGAAAGAGTAAAGGTCACGTAGACGGCGCGCCCCCGACCCGTACTCGTAAGTTCTCGCGCGAGTTACACTTCCGCCCTTTTGGCTCGCTGAGCACCGTCATGGCGGTCGGCAAGAACAAGCGCCTTACGAAAGGCGGCAAAAAGGGAGCCAAGAAGAAAGTG